ACAATAACCTTTCCATTTTCAAGGTCAACAAGCAATGGAAAAATATTTACTTGATTTTTTTCAGTCTCATAGACTACATCAAACAAAGTTTTTTTAAATTAGGGGTTAACTTGTTTATTATAAAAACTTTACCTTTACGCCAAAAATATTTTTAAGTGTTGACTTTTATAACTTTATGTTGAATAAATTTCCCAATAAGATAATTGAGATTGATCAAAAACATTAGGCAAGACGTTTAATTTTTGTTGATTTGCTAACTGAGACAGTCTTGTGTTTTTAAATTTTTACATAACTCTTCTTTTTGTTTCAAAATCAAAATATCTAATTCTTTTCTTTCTTTAAGAGAAATCTTTTTTCTCAACAGGCTCTGGAAAACTCTTTGTTCTAATAATTGATTGCAAATTACTAAATAACTCATAGTTTGAAAAGTCTATTCTTTTACCACCAAGCGTTTTAGTTTTGTAAAAATATTTAGGTTCACATTTTGCTTCCATTACATACCTATAAAAATCCAATTGTGCTCATAATTTTATTTTTGTTTTTAAGGTATCACCTAACACTACATATTCATCATCTGCTTCATTTGAAGTCAACCACACCTTTGTTCTTAATTATAACAACTCATTTATCAATTAAGCTTTCAAAAAAAACCTTTTTTTAACTGTATTTTTAGCTTTATGTTTTTTAGACAATCTTTCACTCATTTCAAACTTTAATTCTAAATGATGTTGTTTGTATTTATCTTTCATTTTACTAAAGTTACTTGAAGCTTTTTTAAGCAAAGAGTTACGGTCATCCAAAGTCTTTTTATCCAAACAGTCTAGTGTTTTATTCCTATACCACATAGTATTTATAGTATAAACTGGTATAGTTTGTATTTTGGCATTAAGTTTTGTACAAATTAAAAGATCTAATACAGCAAAGTTACTTTCTGACGCTTTGTTAATTATTAAGACATTCTTTGCAGACTTATACTATCAGAAGGATACTCAGATATCAGATATCAGAAGAATACTATCAGAAGTCAATATTTACCTCCAGAAAGTTGATCACCAGATTGTCTTTTAAGAACACCAAATAAAAAGTGACAAATCACTTCTAATGTCTGCAGTTTTAAAATATTTAAATCAGTATCAGCAGTCTCTTCATATAATTTATCATACTAAATATCTTTATGAATACTAACATCACTTGCACTGAATATAGGTGTTTTCAAAATCATAATTGATAATGCATTTTTACACAAGTCTGAAAGTTTCATTTTTAAGGTTAGCAAAAATGGACTCATATCAAGAATACTCTTTTGTGATTCAATTATTAGGCAAAGTGAGCCAGTAATCATTTTATCAACTATTCCAAGAGCCCGAACTTCTGCTAAATATAAATTGTTGATAATATTTTTTTTAACTGCTTGTAAAAGATTATTTAGATTTGGCCAATTTTAAAGAAACTCCCAGATATCCTTGGAACAAAAAGTTGCAGTATTATAATAAACTATATTAAATTGGTTATCAACAAAGGGTGCTAGCTTACACTTACTTTGTCTTTTACCAGCAAGAAATGCATTCAAATACCCAGCAACTCCAGCTTCATCACATCCCCTCCCCCCCTCCCTAACATGAAAGATTTAAATGCAGTTCTTATCAATCTAGTCGCACCTGATTCTCCAGTATTGAATAAAAAACTGTTTTTATAACTACTGTTTAAAACTAACTTTTTAAATGATTTAATTGTTTTATCAGTTTTTGTTATAATGTTTGCTAGTAAATGCAATTTACAAAAAACGTTTGACATTCCAATGGAATTTAAAGTTCTTTATAACTTTAGGTAGCAATTTTTTTCTCATATCTTTAAGTTTTAAATTAAACAATGAATTAACCGGCACAAGATAAGACATGGTAGTTTTAAAAGAACATTTAAGGTTAGAAAAATTTTTTAAGTTGCTGCTATTGTCTAAAATGTCACATACATCATCTAATGTTTTAGTTAACGCATTTATAGTATAATTTGCATCACTTCCAACCGTTTCAAGTAATTTAAAAGATACAGTACTTCCACTTGTTGTAGTAACTTGGAAGTTTTGAAAATGTCTATGGTATTTAGTGGTACTACAGTATGTATCATTTATTCTGCAATTTCAAGCTGAGTAAGTGCTAATAGTTCAGTCATAAACCGCGATTTTGTATCAATTGAGGCAAACTTTTCTATATTTAACTTTGCTAGATTTTGAAAACAATGATGATAACCTCATTACCTTTATTCATGCTTATATTCAAAGAAACTAATTTCATAATAACCTCTCTATGTCATTAGAATATCTTCAATTTTGCAATGTTACTATTTTGCTGTCGAAGGAGAAGACAATTTAAAGTGTTCAAACCTTTATTTTCTTTGTATTATAATTTTTCTCCCATGTTAGGAGGACCAATATCTTTTTTAGGATTACTTAAACTATTAGAAGAAATTTTTTTATGTTTATTTACTACCATGCTATACTTCTTGTTTACATTATATAATTTTTTGCATGCAATTCTTTTTTTCTTAAGATTGAGTGCATTTTTTTTGTCACTTTTTTCAAACCTACCTATCAAAAGTTTAACTGTTTTATTAAGGTTTGTAATGACTTTATTATAGTAACCTTTCAATTCTTTTATTTCCTTGTTGTTTTTTTTTCTTTTTTAGTTCTGGAGTCTTTGCTTTATTACTTGCATGTAATAATTTATATGTCATTCTTGAGTCATCAGATGCAAGTGTTTTTTTCATATTGCTATTATGAACTTTAGCAGATTTGAACATATTTTTAATATCGGATAAAGCAAGTTTTAATTTTTCAACACAATTTTTTGGGTTTGATGTTTCAATTTTCTTTTTTTTACCTTTTGATTTATTGTTCTCAATTGATATATATACTTGAAAGTTATTTTTTGAAATAGGCGGAATGAAGGACATCAGCTTATATATATCTCTTTTTTTATAATGTTTTTTTTTTTTTTTTTAATGTTTAAATTTATCTGTAACAATTTTAACTTTGTTGTACAAACTCGAATATTTTTCGGTTCTGAAAACAATTTTGGGAATCGGTTTCTAAAATTCGTGCACACCGTTTTTAAACATTTATCATTATACTGAAGCTAATTTTATACAAAGATTTATATCAGTATATTTAATTACATAATAATAAGTAATTATTAAAATTTTTGGCAAAATTTTAAATAATATTAATACGGACAAAACGGAAAAAAAGGATGAGATTTAACAGGTTTTCAACGTATTTTTAAAATTTAGACTGAAGTAGCCAAAACTTGGTGTTTTTAAATGTAGTTTAGACCAACTAATTCTTCACAGGACTTGAATAAAAATACACAGAAACAACGAAAAAAGGTTATTTGTTATTTAAAGAGTGCTAGAATGCAAATAAAATAATTTTAAGCTAAGATAATTACCAAAACTATATTAAAAGTATGCCTACAGTTAAGTAAACATTTATTAAAAAGTCTAGCAGATGTTTTATGAAAGTATAATCATTTTACTCTTTGTAAAAGTTTTTACAATGGCATGAAAAATTAAGAAAATTAGTCTGAAGTTAATTTGAAAAAGTATTCTTAATATATAAAAAACTGCGAAAATTTTGTCTACGGAAACTGTACTGTGATTGAAGTACCGACTTACAGCTTAGTAAATATAAAAACACTAAAAGTTTTGTTGCAGATATTCAATAAACAAAGTCCTTCGATTAAGATGATTCCGTCCCTATCTTAATGGCTGAAAGAATCTTACATCTGTCCAGCAACATCTGTAGAGTTATGTACTGTAGAGATTACCTGTACACTATTGTCCATGATCCTCTGTATTTTTTTGTACTCCAACAGCATCTGTTTGATGTTATCTGAAAATTTAATGACCCCTAATAAATTTTTAAGGAAGATGTAACTACACCTGGTAGTTTTTCTCTAAGCCTAATAACATCTGAAAGATTTTCCTACAGATGTAACTGTATCTTAATAAAACTATAAATGTAACTTCATCTGGGTAAAATACATTATAACTTCATAATTTCATAAAATCCTGTCAGTCGATGTAGCAGCACTCCGTTGCGAGTCAGACTATTTGTCAGTCGATGTAGCAGCACTCCGCTGCGAGTCAGGCTATAAGATAGTCGATGTAGCAACATTTACGCATGTTTTAAAAATGTTTTTTAATAAAATAAAAACAAAAACATTACTAATAAAAAAAAACTTTCTAGTCGTTATAATTGCGGTTTTTTAAAAAAATTTTAAAAATCAATAAAATTTAATGTACTTCCGCATTAATTTAATTGCTTTGACATTTCGACGACAATCAAATACAGCTTAAGAGACGAGGTAATTAAAATTGTAGTCGAAAGAGACTTTTTTTACATTAAAACGCTCTTTCGACTACACAATATGGATATATATATATATATATATATATATATATATATATATATATATATATATATATATATATATATATATATATATATATATATATATATATATATATATATATATATATATGTATATATATATATATATATATATATATATATATATATATATATATATATATATATATATATATATATATATATATATATATATATATATATATATATATATATATAATATATATATATATATATATATATATATATATGTATATATATATATGTATAGCTCAAAGAAAAAAATCAAAACTAAAACTAATTACTATTTGACCAATTCAAAGCCAAATAGTAATTGTATATTTTACGTACTAAAGTACCTATTATCATGAACAAATGTATCTATTTACACGTACAGATGAACCTAATTTCACGTAAAAATCTACCTATTTTTACGTGGAAATGAACCTTTTATTAGATGGAAATATACCTATATTCATGTTGAAATGTACCAATTTTTATTTAATGCAAGTTTTTTTCTTTTTCAGAAAAAAATGAGAGATACAAGTGAAATATTTTATAAACCAAAACATAATTTAACTAAACTTAAAATATTTCAATAACAAAACAATAACTATGGAAATATTTCATCTGATATGTATATATAATCTATGAAGTATGTCATAGTGAAGTATATCATCTGATGTGCAGAGTCTGTTAAATTCCTACTTTTTCTAAACGTTTGCATTTGCTGATGTAAGTTGTACGCAAAAAAACCCATGTTGATTCTTAAAAAGTTGTGAGTGGTACTTTGAAGACAAACAAGCTATTGTATGGTTACTAACTTGAAATTAACTGCGTTAGGATGTGTTCAACTTTTAGCTATCATTAACATTTCGTATTAGAACAAAAATTGCAATTCTAAATTTTGGAGTATTTATTCCACCATTATTTTTGCATTATGTTTATGGAAGGTATAAAGTGGGTTGAACCTAAAGAAATTAAGATAATATAAATAATTAAATACAAACTTTATAACTGCTATATAATAGATTTCTTTATGCAACCTCGTTCTCAAATTGAGGCTTGAAAAAAGTTTTGTTTAAAAAACCTGTTTCTAAGTTGAAGCTTATAAAAAGTTTAGAACAGCTGTTTTTTATATGTAATATTTATCATATGCATTAGTTTTTATATGCAATGTTTCTTATATATAATGTTTTAATATACGACAAAATGCAGATCCTACCAAGCTTAATTAAAAAAGTTTAGAACAGATTCTTTAAAACTATTATCTTTTTATTGCAGTAATCATAAAAAAAAAAAAGAAGAGTCCTAAAAAAAAGGTGCATTGTAGAAATCAAGTCCAAAATACTACAAACAAATAATCTCGCAAATATAACTTTTTGCCGTATTAGCTTTAATTAATAAAATAATTCTTTATAACACTTGCTTTTGATTTTTTTTTGTAGTTTTTTTACGAATATCTGTTTTATAGAATTCTCTCATATCTTCGTATTTTCTTGACAATTACAAAGTTTTTTTAAGTTTTCTGTCTTTTTTTTTAATGTCGCTTCCTAACTTTTAGCTTTCTCGATTGTTTCTTTTTATATCATATATAATTCTTTTTTCCAAAAAATTAGAAATTCAGTTAGCCTACTTTTTTATAACTTCTTATTCAATTAGTGATTACTTCAAAGTTATTGTGAGTGAATTTGTTTAACGAAAAAAAAAAAGAAAAAGGTTTGACGAAGTTATCGTACTTTTGAACAGGAGAATATTTTAAAAAGATCGTCAAGTTATGATGGTTCCTAAATTAAAATAAAACTGAAGCTCTTCAATTCTGCAGAAACATAATTTGCAGAGGTGTTTAAATAAGATGTGTAATCTAAGCTTTAAAAGTTAACTCAACCAAATCTAATTGTGCCTAAATATTTCCAGAAATATATTTGATATAGTTTTTACTTTCTTCGTTTTTCAATTTTCGAATTTGAACTTTAGTTTAATATAATTCTGAATTCAAATTTATTTAAAACTATTTAAGTTCACTGTAATCTAAGAAGTATTAATTTTTTTACTAAAAACAGAATGTTTCGAAAATGTTTATAGGATATAAAAACTTACTAGTAGATAAAAAAGTTTAAGGAATGGATTAAAGCTGGGGTGAACGCCACAACAAATATGAAATATATCGGATATACACGTTCTAATCTGTTATAACGTTATAAACTACAACACGCTTCCATATTTAGTCTTTATAGTAATTCAAAAATGGTCATGTTGGTAAAAACAAACATGACCATAAGACTAACATGACCATAAGACTAACATTACCATAAGACCAACATGACCATAAGACCAACATGACCAGAAGACAAACATGACCGGAAGACCAACACGACCATAAGACCAACATGACCATAAGACCAACATGACCATAAAACCAACATGACCATAAAACCAACATGACCATAAGTCTGGCTGACCAGAGGTTTTTGATAAAACTCGGGGACATTTTAATAAAAATCGGGGACATTTGAAATTGTACTAAAAAATACATTAAATCACTTTTTAATAAAAGT